CCACTTCTATTCTTGCCTCTTTTCCATCAATTCTCCACCTCCCTGACATAGCAAGTATTTGAAAATGCAAGTATAATCAGAGCACTCCCCTGCTTAAGACCTCAGATAAAGACCAAACTTCTCCCCATAGCCTACAAGACTTCACCCACTCTCTAAATGCATGGATCTCCTTGTACTGCACCTACACACACACACACACACACACACACTCTCTCTCTCTCTCTCTCTCTCTCTCCCCCCCTGGTCTCCCACCTCCTCAAAGAGTTCTTCTCACTCCCACCCCAGGGCCTATGTACTGCCTCTTTCTTCTACCTGGGATGTTCCCCTCACCCCTAGACCAACATCCCTTCACCTACTTATCCTTCATCCCTTAATCCTTACTTATCCTTCACATTCAGCTCAAATATCACTTCCTCAGAGAAGCCTTCCCTGACTGCCAGACTACATAGAATTTTCCTTGACTCCCTGGTGCATGCTGGCTCATTCCTTTCACTTTTTTTATAACCCTTATCCAAGCCCCAACCACAGTTGGCTTGAGTGCGTCATTGTCATACACAACCAATCAAGTGGATCAGCCCCTTGAGCAAATTATCTGTGTGTGTGTGTGTGTGTGTGTGTATGTGTGTGTGTGTATGAATTGATTCATGCCTATATCTTGCACTTGACTTAAAGATCCAGGAAAGCAGAGATCATACCAACTTTTAAAAACAATTGTATACCCAGAATCTCATACAGTGACTAGCATAAACACTTCCAGTTTGTTACAGTCCCCACTACTCCCTATTGCGTTCCCAACTCTGAGTAAAGTGTTAGTTGCAATTTAAGTTATGTTTATGTTGCTGTTTATCTTAAAGAATTATCCCTTCATACCACTGCCTCTATCAAAGGGTGGAGAAACAGAATCTAGACCAAGAGGACCAAGAGTTTCCAGGAAAAATGGGAATAGCATATTTCCCATGAAAGTGAAGAATGCAGACGGGTGGGGTGGCTCATGCCTGTAATCCCAGCACTTTGGGAGGCCGAGGTGGGTGGATCACTTGAGGTCAAGAGTTTGAGACCATCCTGACCAATATGGTGATACCTCATCTCTACTAAAAATACAAAAATTAGCCAGGCGTGGTGGCGGGTGACTGCAATCCCAGCTACTTGGGAGGCTGAGGCAGGAGAATCTCTTGAACCCGGGAAGCAGAGGTTGCAGTGAGCCAAAATGGCACACTGCATTCCAGCTTGGATGACAAGAGCAAGACTATGTCTCAAAAAAAAAAAAAAAGAAGAAAAAGAAAGTGAAGAATATTTATTACGTGCCCAGGCTCACAGGTATTCAAGTGTGAAACTCCTCCTCTAAAATTCTGTATATATTTCTATTATATTTATTTATTAATTCATCTAAGATTTATTTCTGGACACCGACCTGGCACTGCTCTTTGTGCTTGGGATACAGTGAAGGGTAAGACAGATGAAGATCCTGCCTTCATGTTACAAAGCGCCTACATGACAGTGTGTAACGTTTCCTATCACTTACCTATCCTTCCACTAGTCTGAGCTCCTGGTGGTTTCAGCACAGGCTCTGGAGACAACTGCCTTGGATTCAATTCCAACCGGGTGGTCTTGGGCAAATTACTAAACTTCTCTGCTTTGGTTTTCTCATCTGTGAAATGGGGCTAATAATTGTACCTTCCTTCCATTGTGATAATGAAGATGCAATGAGTTAAGTCGTGGCTGTCTCTTAACAAACCCTCAGTAAATGTTAACTCTTATCACTCACCTCTGTCTCCTAAGCAGAACTGGCTTCCTGGATGTGTGACCTATGTAGTCACTGAAGGCCCTATGCTTGGAAGGGCTCCATGCTTGGTTTAATGCTCTACTCTTGGTGTCTTGAAATTCTTAATAATTTTTGAACAAGAGACCTTGCATTTTTATTTTGCACTGGGACTTGCAAATTATGTGGCTGGTCCTAACCAGCGTATGTTATGTGTCCAGTAAAATTCTGTTGAAAGAATGAGTAAGTGAATGAATTCAGCCAACCACTGTTGTTGAACTGAGTCTGCCATTGTCATACAGAACCAATCAAGTGGATCAGCCCCTTGAGCAAAATTAAAAGACTTTTGTTGTTAACTCATCCTGCCCATTCCCTGGGACTTAGGAACACTCAAAGCTTGACCTAAGTCTTTGAAGATCTCATCCGGGCCAGGTGCATTGGCTCATGACCATAATCCTAGCACTTTAAGAGGCTGAGGCAGGAGTTTGAAACAAGTCCGCGCCATAGAGTGAGACCCATCTCTTTAAAAAAAAAAAAAAAAATCTTCTCATCCAAACTATCCATTTTCCAGGAAGCTTGGACCTTGACAAACTGCTAGTGTTCCTGATGGAACCAGCAGAGGACCCAATCCAATTCCCCATTCTCCATAACCGCAGTCTGCACCGTTCACACCACGCCCCTCTTTTTCTCCCAGCTCAGCATTCCCAGGACAAAGGCATACCTGGTTTCTTTCATCCCCATTTTACAGATGGAGAAATAAAGGCTCGGACACAATAAGGTCCATCAAGATTTCCCATGCATCCCAGTCCCTCTGCCTAGTTAAGTTTGTAGTTCTGTGAAGAGTCTCTAACTAGAGTCCCAGAATTCAAACCACTCAAATCGTTTTTGGAGTGACTAGTCATATATGATCATTATATGCTAAATCCCCCCAACCCCAACAGCATTCTGAGACCCTGGCCTGCAAGGACAAGCAAAGGTAAACTCATCTCCCTGCAGGCCCTGAGTGCTGAGTCCTTTCATTCTTTCAACGTCTATTGAGAGTCTGCAGCATGCAGGCACCGTGTGAAGCTGAGATGCAACCAGGAACAACACAGACAAAAGGCCCTGCCTTTCTAAGAGAAAGTAAAATAAATAAATACAATGTGTATGGTCTGCTGATGGTGCCATACACTATGCAGAGAAATTAAGCAGGGAGGGACAGAGGATGTGAATACTTTGAGGTGGGAGAGGAATGGAGATTTCAACAGGGAGGAGAGTAGAGATTTCAATGGTAAATAGGATTATAAGGGAAAGCTTCAAAGAGAAAAGGACACATAAGCAAAGACCCTAAGAAGGTGAGGAAACAGCTTCCTGCAGCTGTGCAGAGGAAGAGCATCCCAGGCAAAGGGAATGGCCAGTGCAAAAGCCCGGAAGCCTTATCCATCATTCACAATGCAGAGGGCATCTCTGAAGAGACTAGGAGGTCTTTGTCAGATCACATATATTTCCCCCCGCCCCTGGCTAGCCCCGGCTTCTCATCTCAGTCTAACCGCCTGCAGACCAATCCAATCTATAGGTTTTTGAACAATTATTTATTGAGCTTCTACAATGGCCAGCCACTGCTTTATTCATCATTGCAGCGGTGTTCTTGTTTTCTTTGTGTTTGCAGTAGTCATATTTAATCGAGAGAGGTCACAATAAAATTTCAGCGTCTAATGGGGTCTGAAATCTCAGCCCTGGCCTCACTGGGCTGGGTCCATGTGACTCTGTAATCTGCCCTTTTGTGGGGCCACGTGCCTCCTTGCTGACTACAGACCCAGCTAGATCCAGTAGATGCCCCCCTTATGCAGACTGTCTGGCTCTGTATGCTTTGGAGATTTCCACTCTGCCCTAGAGTGTCCTCCATCCCTGCCTAGGGTAACCCCTAATAAAGACAAGAACTAGATACATGCTTTTTGCTAGTCTTGAGGGCCAGGGGTCCGCTCCACGTTGGGAGACCTGGAAGAGGCTGGGGAAAGCTCAGCCAGTTACTTCTCTCCAGGAATGGATGTGATAGAGGGGTGAGGGGCGTTGGGAAGCAGTGGGGGCGGGGTCTTAGGCTTCTCAGACCCATCACAGCTCTTTGCATAGGCAGCTGCTACAGTCTGCTCCTGGGGATGCCTGGCCTGGGTACTCCTGCAGAATCTTTAACTCTCTCACACTCACTGTCTTGAGCCCCAGACAGATCTCTCTCTCTCTCTCTCTCTCTCTCTCTCTCTCTCTCTCTCTCTGTCTCCCCTCTCTCCTAAAGTCTGTGGTGGCCACACAGGGAACCCTCCACCTGCCTGCCCTGAGGAGAAAGGACCACCCACCCACACATTGCTTGGATCCCACCTGCTTTACCAATGCTACCCTTCACACAACCTTCAAGCACTCTAGACAAGCCCCCATGACTCCCACGTGCGTTTGTGCAAGTTTGGAGTGCCCTGTGAGTGTGGTCTTGTGCACGGTGATGAGGATGCCTGCGTGTTTGCAAGGATCTGGGTGTGGGATGGGAGGGCATCCGCGTGCATGAGTGAGAGTGTGAGTACACCGCATGCCTGGGTATTGTGTGTCTTTGTGTGAGCGTGGGCGAGTGCGTGTTTGAGTGGCTGCAACATCCTTATCCCTGACTGAAGGGCGGCATGCAGGAGGGGCTTCTCTTAGCCAGTCTGTATCCTCTTCAAACGCACTCCAGTTAGGGGACAGTCCACCGGCGGCACCCCCAGAGTCGCCACACACACGCACAGGGATGCACGCACCCCTCTTTCCAGAGCCAGCAAGCTCAGCTCCACTGGTCCAGGAAAACCGTCAACCCTTTAGCATCCTCGCTGTTCCAACAGCCCCACCCCTTCCCCCGTTCTTTGCCCTAGGTGTCGAATCCTCTCTCTGGAGATGGACTGGAAGCATTGGCAAGGGGCAAGAGAGGTGGCTGCGAGGAGAGTGGAGAAAGGCAAACTGAGGACACGCTGGAGGAGTGAAGAGCCGCTGCGGGAGAGGCAGATCCCACCCACACCACGCCCCTCCCTCGGGGTTGGAGATGGGGGTAGCCTATTTTCCACCCCGGTCTTCCTTCGGGGTTCCCAGGTCTAACTGCATCTTCTCCCCTGAAACTGGAGCCAAGCGAGGCGGCTGGGACCCCCTCCTCTCCCGCATCCCTCCCACCCCACACAGACTCCGCGTCCAGGCAGCCGCTGATTGGCTGCGGGGAGCGGCGTCCCAGCCCCCCGGCTTTGAGGCGGGAGTGGAGCGGGTCCGAGGTGGGAGGCGCACAGACGGGCTCCGGGAGCCCCTCCCGAGGCCCCGCGCCGCGCGCCCGGCACCCTGCGCCCCGCGCCCTGCGGGAGGGCTGAGCCGGGACTCCAGGCGGGCAGGTGCGGAGCGAGGAGAGGGGATCACGGCCAAGGGTAGGAGCCAGTCCTGCGGTGAGAGAGGCGCTGCTGCTCCAGCTGCTGCCTTCGCCGCCGCCGCCACCGAGCCGGCGACCAGAGTCGGGCTGGCAGGCCGGGCGCGAAGCGGCGAGGGGAGCGAGGGGCGCGCTCATGGAGCACACGCACGCCCACCTCGCAGCCAACAGCTCGCTGTCTTGGTGGTCCCCCGGCTCGGCCTGCGGCCTGGGCTTCGTGCCCGTGGTCTACTACAGCCTCTTGCTGTGCCTCGGTTTACCAGGTGAGGGGCGTGGGGGAGAGGGAGGGAAGTCAGGAACCCCAAGTGCCAGGTAACCCTGCCCAGAATCCCCCGTCCTCCCCCGTGCGTTCCCTGGCACCCACTCGGAAAAAGTTTAAGCTTTAAGGTCAACTGCGGAGATTTCTACATGGGGGGAGGAAGTTGCTGTGCCCTGGCTGGGGACCGTGTGTGTGTGTGTGTGTGTGTGTGTGTGTGTGTGTGTTTCATGACTGTGACGGCGGGCGATGGGCTTGGCGTGTGAGCGCGGATTCGAAGGTGCATTTGTGCGCGCGTCTGGAGGGGGCGGCTTTCATGGGGTCGACGCGTAGAGGGCTGTGTGTGTGTTTGGCTTGACTGCATGTTCTGGACAGAAGGCTTCGCGGAGGCTTCCCTTCTCCCGTAGCCCCGGCACGTCCACCCCACTTGGGGCACCTCTGCCTCTCTGCCTGACACGAAATGAAGCTGGAGACCCTGACACTGAGCACTCTCTTGCTCGGGGAGGTGGGGGGGCACTGGGATGGAGAAAGGATGCCTAGCAAGAAAAGGGTCTCCCAGCTGGCTAAGGAGAATCAGGGGTTGGCTCTGGGACCGTGCCCTGGCCAGGGCAAGGGTGCAGAGACACACAGGGCAGCCTGCGGTGACTGCCACCTCAGGGGGTCACAGTCTCCTTGAGGACATGGCTGGCCCCCTGGCTTGGCCTCCAGGTTTACCCACCCTGGGCAGCTCACGCTGCTGCGGATGTCTGGCTGGTCTCACATCTTAATGTCCTTTTCAAAGTGTGGCTGAGACTTGTGCTGAATTCCTGAAGAGAGCTGAGCTGCCAAGAAGGTGGGAGTGCTTGCCTGGGCTGTGTGCAAGAGAGAGGGAGAGAGACAGGTTTTTTCCTGGGGCTCCAGCTTTGGGTGGACCCTCCTCACAGGCAGTCTCCGTGGCAGATAGATTCCTAAAGATTACTTGCCTGCAGAGAGGAGAGAGGGACTGAAAGAAGCGGAGATAAAGAGAGGAAAAAAATCCAGTGTACACCCTAAAATCTTAGCATCATCTCGCTAGTCATCTCTTAGTCTGCGAACCTTAGCATCTTGCTATCCTGGGAACTTGGGAGCTGGATTTCTGAGACCCTGGCTGAGATTTCCTTTCCAAAACATTCAACTTGGCAGTCAGGGCCCCTGATGAGATTGCTTCAATAAATCCCCCCTCTCGAATTTGGCAGGCATGAGAAAGAGCAAGTTTACTAATGTGTGAGCCTCTCTCCCCCAGTCCGTGATGAGGCTTTTATTCCTAACTAATCGCCCCGACTGCCCTAGGAGAGCAGCTCAGCCTCTGATTTGCCCTGCCAGGGTGGTAGCACATGTCCTGTAATTACCTTGAGCTGGGATTGATTTCAGTCCAGGTTCTACCTCCCCTCTTCAGCCCTTCGGAGCTTCTCTCCCCAGAGCACTGCTTTGGGAAATGAGTTTTTGAGAAGGTTGGTTATTTGGTGATGCTTGCTGAACCGGAAAAGTGTCAGAACCTCTTTCCCCCTCAGCATTCCCATCAGAACGCCCCCCACCCCACAATCCACCCACCCTTGCACCTCTTCTACCGAGTGAGGTAGCCACTCACTCACTATCCCAGGCTTTTCTAATGAAACCATTTAAGGGACAGAGACAAAGACAAGCAGAGGTTGACCCTTCAAGAGTTCAAAGCAGGGACAAGAGGATGAAGAAAATGAGGAAAAGCTTAGACCTTCAAAGACCTCAAGGTGGAAGCCAAGGTACCTCACACCTTCACGTCCCAACTCTTATGCCAGTTAGGGCCTTCCTAACACATAGCATTGACATCTACCGTATGCCAGGCACTGTGCTAGCCACAGGCTTAGCCCAGAGCTTGAGAACTTAAAAGCATGAAGCTAGGGTTAGGATTTGGCTGTTGTTGATGTCTTCATATCCTCAATATTAGTTTTGGCCACTGCGGTATGCCAAGTATTAACTGGGTGTCAAAAGGACACAAAGACTCCTAGGATGCAGTCTCTGAGTTCCAGGAGCTCCCAGATGGAAGCACATGATTCCAGAGGCAAAAGATGGATGCATAAGGACCTAGCAACCTAGAGAAGAATGGTTGGGGAGGCCAGGCTTATCCAAAAGCCTTGGTCTGTTAGCAGTTTCGTTAACAGCCCACAAGGCTGGTTCAAAGGTGAATTCTTTAAGTCATTCTCTTAAAACCATAAGGGGAGACAAGTATGTCCTGGCAATGAAGAGTGAGTGTTAATCCGGGTTCTGCTGGGGTTAGGTTGCAGGCTTTTCATGTCTCTGTGCCTCAGTTTCCACAACTGTAAAGTGGGAATTAGGAGAATAGCTATCCCCTGGAGTGGTGTTGAGAAGTAAGGATGTTGCTGGAGATGATGGCACGAGTGAAACGCTCGCCTTGGGGCCTGACATTCATTGATTGACACTGCGCGGCTGCAGTCATAGTTATTATGAAGCCGATCAGGTCGTAAGGAGGGGGGGGTCTGCTTGATCAGCCCCACCAGTGACCAGAGGAGGGACTGAGATACACAGAATAAAGCATTCAGGTCAGCATGTAACTCTGCGTGTTGAGCTCACCACAGTGGTCCCCACCCATCACCTCCCCTCCCCAGCCACCAGCAATTAGCAAACTCTCATTACTCCACCACTGACTGGGAGACGCAGCTTTGCTGGGTGTGGAGTAACAGACCGCAGGCCTTGCTCATATTGTTGAAAACTGAGATTTTAAATGAATCACTATTCCTGGCAGTAGACTCACCCCAAGTTTCCCAAATTCTCGCAGTAGTGGTTGGAGACGTGGGTGGGGACTAAGGGATGGATGGGGAGCGCCTGAATGTTTAGCAACAGCAGAGCTAGTATCACAGGAACGTGGTGGATGTCTCTGACTACCTTCAGTCTCTAGGTTGGGAGGAAGAGCTAGGGGATTGCCCCAGACAGTCTAATTTTTAACTGGTTGGTGTAGGATCGAAGGAATTCTAATGCAAAATATGGGTACAGCTTCACCACTTAAGAACTCTCCACCTCTCTCCACCATAATTTTCCCCATCTGCAAAATAGGGGTAACAGCAGTAACTGTTACCCACGCAGGTGGTATATATTAAATAAGATCATCTACGTAAAAATGACTTAGCACAGTGCCTTGTCTGAGAAAAGCACTTATTCCTCACTCAGTGAGTTCTCCATACCGGATCTCTGTCACCTATATTATTGCACTTAATCCCTGCCACACCTCTGTGACCTATGCCTGTCTTCGAACTCATTTTACAGTGAACAAACTGAGACTCAGAAAAACGGAGCATCTTATCTATGGTCGCACAGTCAGGTCAGCATGCAAACATACTGTCTTATTAAACAGTGCAATAAAGCAAGCAGTGCAATTTCATTGTGTGGTTTTGCCTTCATTACCGCCAGGCAGTTGTTTGAACTAACCTCGGTCCCTCATTTCTGTGCTCCGTGGAGAAAATCGGTGTCCCACCTGTTCCTAAAACTCCACCTCTTTCCCTCTTTCCTCCTCCTTTCTAAGTAAGCGAGATGTTTCCCACTTCTTGAGACACACAAAATAAGTCAGCAGAGCCAAAAAGGAAGGATTGGGACACTCATTGGGCCAACTGGAATGAGACAGTGCAAAAGAGACAGCAATGCAGGAGAAAATGATGAACTTGAGCCCCTGGGGGAAGAGAGTGAGAGGGAGGATAGGTGAACCAGCTTGATAAGGAAGGAGCAGCGTGAAATTAAACTGAGACTTGAGAGATTTTTTTAAAATTACCTTCTAAAGAGTGCCATGGATGTGCAGAAAGACAAAGTGAGGAAAGAGATGATGGTTTGAAACTGAATGCTGCCCAGCAGAAGGATGCATTTCCGCCACTGCCAAGTGAGGATGATAACATCTGTAACATCTGCCTTTGAGGGTTGGTGCAAGATGAAGGCAGATGATGAGTCTGTAGCCTGGCAGATAGTAAATAAGCCTGACACATGGTAGTTACCATTGTTGTTCACTAGAAGTAGAAAACTGGTGACCTGTCAGCTGGACTGAGGCCTGCAGATATGTTTTCTTTACCGTGTAAACATTTTTAATGAGAGAAAATGGAATAAACAGGTTAAAGGGACACACTCTGGAGCTGGACCTCTGGGGTCTGAGTCCTGGCTGTGCTGCTTACAAGTTATGTGACCTTGGGCTAGTGACTTTAACCAGTTTGTGCCTCAGTTTCTCTGTTTAAACTGGGGGTGATTATAAGAATAGTCTACACTTCATAGGGTTGCTGTGAAGATTAAAAGGGCTAAGCACTGAGCGCAATGCCTGGAATATGGTAAGCACTCTATAAGTTATTTTTTCATCATTTAAAAATTAGGAAAAAGTCCCAACTCACTTTGTGACACCAGCTTTATTAAAACCGGACAAAGACATTACAAAAAAAGAAAACTACAACCAAATGTTCCTCATGAACATAGACACAAAAATCATCAACAAAATATTAGCAATTTGAATCCAGCAATATATAAGAGGAATAACAAATCAGAATCAACTTGAGTTTATCCCAGGAATACAACACTGGCTCGACATGTGAAAATCACTCAGTATAACTAATCATATTAACAAACTAAAAAAAATTTAAAGCCATATGATCCATCTCAATAGATGCAGAAAAAGCATTTGACAAAATTTAACATCCATTTGTGATAAAAACTCATCAAACTAGGAAGAGAAAAACAACCTATTTAACTTGATAAAGGGCATCTATAAATAATTTACATGTTACAACACATTTAAAGATAAAAAAACTGAATGCTTTTTCCCTAAGATCTAGAACAAAGCAAGGATGACTGCTCTCACCACTACTATTAAACATCATACTGGAAGAAGTCCTAGCCAGTGCAATAAGGCAAGAAAAAGAAGTAAAATGTATACAGAAAGAAAGGAATTAACTAGTTTTGGTTCACAGATGATACAATGGCCTTCCTAGAAAATCACAAAGACTCCACACCAAAAAAAACTCCTAC